TGTGTAGAAGTTTTAGCACCGTATCAGACTCTAAAATCAAGGGTAGAGAATAAAGTTTAGGGTGAATTGAGGACGGGGCATGCCATCATTTTTATTTAACTGTCAGACTTTACAGCTTTAAAAACTTGATGGGGTAAAAGCATTAAAACTTTTTCAACCAATATTTTGTCGGTTCATTAACTCGTTCATTCTCTAACTGTTTCAGCTCTTGAGGAATTCTTTCTACCTGCTCTCAGGTAATCCCTGACATGTCTCTGTTGGAGGATGCTGTGAAGTGTGTAGTTGTGTAAAGAAGTGTAATTACTGAGTATTTGTTTGGAAAACTCAGAGAAATGCTAAAATTTACAGTAAACCGAGACCTTTTTTTCTTTGTTTTCAACTAAAGCTGAACTTAGTGGGCTTTCTTGTGGAAAGTATTTAAAGATAGTTTGGTGTATTTAATTGTCACCGAGAAGCAAGAATGTATGATGTTCGATTTTTGAGAAGGGGGGGAAAAAAAAGGGAAGCTCGTGATGTTCAAAGGGAGGATGAAATTTAAGGTTTAGCTGAAAGTCTGCAGACCACAGAGAGGCCGAGCTCTTGTATTTATTCCTGTTTTCAAAGCGGGATCAGACGTGAATGCTCTGATCTGATTATTACATTGCATTATGTATACAGATACAGTACTATACCGTTGATGGAACACTTATTTATGTCCACTTTGTTTGTTATCAACACTGTGATATATGTATTTCATTCAATTTATTCACTTCTTTTTACATGATCATTGTGTCTGGTAAATAAAAAACAAAACATGTTGTCTTATTATAACTTTGTTAACGTTTTCTTCTGTCAGTGGGAGGCTGCTCAGTTGTTCTTATTTAAAAAGCATTCAGCGGGAGATTTGTTTGATATGCAGGGTAATCACAAACCGCTGAATCATGGAAGAGAACGGTTAACACAAAAAAAGAGAACAGATGGGGAAAAACACCCTTTCATGGAAGCTTGTTTATATCACTGAAATAAATAAATTGGCATCATAAGTCATAATTTCAGTTTATGTAAAAAAAAAATAATTCACTATTAACTAATACATTTTGAGATGATTCAAAATTTTAGCTTGCTGTGAATGTTATTGTTGCACCGTTTGTCCACAGCATGTCTTTTATCCTGTCTTCCTTCTCTCACTCTAACCAATCACAGCAGATGGACCCGCCCCTCCCTGAGCCTGGTTCTGCCGGAGGTTTCTTCCTGTTAAAAGGGAGTTTTTCCTTCCCACTGTCGCCAAAGTGCTTGCTCATAGGGGGTCATGATTGTTGGGTTTTTCTCTGTACCTATGAAGCACCTTGAGGCGACTTTTGTTGTGATTTAGCGCTATATAAATAAAATTGAATTGAACTGAATTGAATTGAAGAGTGCAATCTGCAAGCTGTTGGCAGTCACAGATGGTATAATAAAAAATGAAAGTAGGCCAGTTTGGAAAAGTCAAGAGCAGCGTTTCCATCTTTGCCATCTTGGTTTCAAAAAAACAGGATGTGACGAGGAGGACCGGCCAGAGCTTGCTCATTGTTCCCACTCATTGGCTAATGACTTCTAATTGAAGTTGTTAGCTGACGTTGTTGGGGTCAAATCAGAAAGTTATCATTTATAGAGCTGAACCAAAGATATCGCCATCTAGTGACCTGTCCGATAAAATGCGCGATTATTGCATCTCTTTGTGGCTTCATTTTTATGATCTGGAATTTACGCCACGCTTACTGTTTATGAAGTACTTTATCCCAATATGCTTACTTTACTTACGTCTCCCAGAGTTTGTAAAAGTAGAATAGGAGTCAGAGGCTTCAGCTATCAGCCCCTCTACTGTGGAACCAGCTCTCAGTTTGGATTTTGAACAAACAGACATGAGACAGACATGTTTCCGCTTTAAAGGTTAAACACAAACTTTTCTCTTTGAGGCTAACAGTCAGGGCTGGATCAAGTGACCCTGAACATCACTTAGTTATGCTATAGACTCTTCATGTGACTCCCTGACTCCACTCACCACTTTTCACTTCCCATCTGTTTATCTGCCACTGCAGTGTGTCACAGTTATTGGTTTTTATTTAATTTGATTTTAAATTTAATGACATAGTTAAATGCTGTCTTCTTTCTGCAACAGTAGGTGTTTTGTCCCATCTTCCTGTGTGCTTTTCTCTTCTCTTTCCCCAAACTGGTCACAACCGATGACCATCCCTTCCTGAGCCTGGTTCTGCTGGAGGTTTGTTCCTCTTACAAGGGAGTTTTTACTTCCCACCATCACAAAATGCTTGCTCATAGGGAGTCGTCAGATTGCCCGAGCTTTGCTCAAATTACTGTAGGGCATTTAGCTAGCAATATAAAGTACTTTGAAGCAACCTTTGTGATTTGGCACTATATAAATAAACCTGAATTAAACTGAACAAATCAGTCTGGACGAGCACAAACACAACAGCCAATCAGAATCAGGCACAAGTTAGAAAATAACAAGTAATAAATGAGTAAATAAATAATTACACATAACAAATGTGAGCAAAAGCTATTCATGTTTTTTGTGTCCTCAAGCATAATTTATGGTCCCACAGATACATCTGTGCACGTTTCCATTTGGACAGCCTGAGAACCTACACAGATATTTAGATGTTGTAGTTTCTTATTCACATGCAGTGTGGTAATATCTGTTGCTTCATACACAGTTTAAATTGTGTCCTCATCATTTAGAACTAGTGTTTCACTTTTCATATAAAGATCAAATAGCAGATGTGCTGCACACCAAACTACAGCATGACTAGATTAAACTTTGTCCTTTTCCTCAGCTGAGCAGCCGCACAGAGCTGCCAGCGTGGGTGTAAACTCCCACAGATGTATATGCTATGTATAAAACATACGAGAAAATGGTTTTCACACAAGGACTCACAGCTAGAAGATCAAAATGTGGGAAAAATAAATCGTGTTTATCCCACAGGCAGATATGATCCTTTAAGATTTACCCAAATCACACTTTTTGAGATATTTTTTCACTGAATTATCACAAAACGGATAAAACATGGAGGGCAGAAACAGAAACAAGTGTCTCTATTACATTATAAACATTAAATTTGGCGTGTTTTACTGCTGAAAAACTGATATAGTCCTAATAATGAAAAAACTCTTGCTGTGTCATTTTGAGTGTGACTGAAATTTACTTGCTAAATATATTTTAGCAGCCATAGAATTTCATGTGACTATCCCATGTACTTTTTAGCTATGACGGCTAAAATCAAGAGATGCAAATCTTCAGCCTTCCTCTACATAATTTAAGGTGTGTAACACAAAAAATATTCATTGCAGGGAGGTGAAATTGTGCAGACTTTCATTAAACAGACAAATATTCTACAAAAACAGCCCTTTTTGAACAACTGCATACCATCTCTTTGCCGTCACTGTTTTGGTGGATTATTGTCTCCACTTTGCATTTTTTAGATTCAGTGATTCACAAGAAATGATTTGCTGATCAGGCAAATCGCTCATCTAAAGAGAAGCCATGGCTCTCATGTTCTAATGGCAGGGTTTGCTGCGAATTGTGGATTTATTTTAACTCTAAGCTTAAATCCGAAAACTGTTCTAAGCGCTAAAAAAAGAAACCGACCTCACCGTCACCTCGCAGTATGGCCCTGAAGTCCAAACATCTACATCCTACCTTCTGTCAGCACAGATAAAACCTCTGAGGAAGTTGATAACCCACGCTCAGTTTATTTCCACATCTGGAAGCTGCTGGAGTCACGGAGATATCCGCTGTGGAAGTCATGACAACCGCACGGGGGGGCATCAAGGTTATCACAGTTAATTCAACCTAAGCTAAAAGTAAAACTGAAGGTGAGAAAATAAATTTGAATAAATGAAATACAAATAAAAGGCATCAGTAGTGTAGCTGCTCCATCGTCCAACTTATTAAACAAATACCATCTATATACTAATCTATATTGCAGGATACTATTATACTACCATCTATAACTCAGATAGACTCACCAGCAACATTATTAGGCACACCTGTTTCAATCACATGAAAATAAGTTCAAAAGCTGCATCAGAATCAGGAAGAGAGGTGATTTGAGTGACTTTGAATGCTGCATGGTTGTTGGCAGCAGTCAGGCTGGTCCGAGTATTTCAGAATCATCTCCAGGATTCACAGAGAATGGTCTGAAAAAAGACAAGCGTCAGTTTTCTGAGCTTAAAAAGGGTTTGTTGATGCCAGAGAAGATTGGCCACGCTGCTTATAGTTGATAGAAAACTATAATCAGTTGCAACCAGTTGTTTCAACCAAAATGTGAGCATGTTGAAGGAGATCCAGCAGCAGAAGACCACACCAGGTGTAGCTCTTATCAGACTACAATTCATATGGGCTCAAGATGTTGCCTGGGTGACGAGTTTCAATTTCTCCTGCAATGTTTGGATGACAGCATCAGCATTTCGCATGAACAGCATGAAGGCATGCATCCATCCTGCCACGCATCAACAGTTCAGGCTGCTGGTGGTGATGTCACAAGATCACAATCCAACACAATACCTTTGGGATGTAGCGGAACAAGAGATTCACATCATGGATGTGCAGCCAGGAAATCTGCAGCAACTCTCTGGTGCTGTCGTGTCAGTACGCATCAAAACCTGTGACGAATGTTTCCAACACTTTGCTGAATCTGTGGCTTCAAGAATGAAAGCAGCTCTGAAAGCAAAAGAGAGTCCAACCTGAAACTTGTACTTTTATGTGAGTGCCTATTACAATAAAACTAATACAAACTAATCGGATAACTAAAAGTAAAACCAAATGTTTTAAAAAAAAGAAAGTAGACATTAAAATTGAAAATTAAATTGAAACATGGCAAGCGAAACTATTTGCTTCACAAATGATGAAATGATGATAACTTTGCAAAAGCCTCTGGATACAGTGTGTGCGCTGACAGACTCACAGACAGCTATTGAAAACAAATGTGAAACAGTAGCAATTAACAGCTTACAGAATCCACATCTTGATGACAAATTTTCTTTAATTTTTTTATATTTACAACACTGCATCCTAATAGCATGAAAAAACTGCTGTAATATACATTATAACTTGCAGCAGTTGTATTCAAGTTACATTTAAGTATTTTACATTCTTAGACGTAGTCTCAGAGACTACGTCCCATGAAAATGGTTTTAATATGTACCATTACGCTCAGATACATTATGATAAATGATGACAAACAACTTTATAAATCAAACAACACAATACAAAAAAACATTCATTTAAAATAATGTGTCCAGCTAGGACAGATGAAACAACCAAAACTGTGCCACTTGCTCAACAGTCCATGGCTATGTGACTATTGTGTTCATACAGTCTGCTCTTCTACCATGAAGAGATATTTCAGTGGGATTAAATCTGCATCCACAGAAACCCAGAGGACCAGGAGTAAGAGAAGTTTGACAAGTTGTCCATCACGTCTCAGGATCCTTCGTCCACTGTCAGCCCCTCCAGCTGCTCCTGCACATTCTCCAGCTGCTCCGTCTGGCTCTCTTGTGGCTGCTCGGACTCCGGCTCATGGTTCTCTACCTCTTCCTCCATCTTTGGCTCCTCGCGTACACTCTCAAGATTCTCTGAGCTCTCAAAACAACCCGAATCCCGCGGCTCCTTGGCGTCCTCCCCAGATGTTTCCTCCTTCTCCTTCTCCCCCTCCTCCTCTTCTGGCTCTGACTCTTCTTCAGCTACACAAGCACAAAAACAATCACAGTTTAATATATAGAGGTTTACGCCAATCCTTTTTATTCTTCCTGAACTCTGACAGGTCCTTTCATCTCGCTCAGCATCCAGCAGTAAAGGAACAACACAATCATTCATCCGGAGTCACTTTGTGTCCACCTGGTGAATCTAAACCCTAGCTCACTCCTGTTCAGCGTTGTTTATGTTCTCTCAAACCTCCTGAGGGAAATCCACTACATGCAGGCAGCTGACTGTTATTTGCTGCTGTGTTAGTGCATAAATACGGTGGGACAGCAGAGTGAACCAAAACAGTAAATCTGTGGGTCAGATGGCTAAAAAAAGAGACAAAACTACTAGTATTTAATGCTCAAACAGCTGCAGATTCAAGAAACACTTGCAGGTTTCTCAGCACAGATAATCACTTCCATCCGTTCACATCTCACCAAAGTTATTGTAGTGTGTATGAAAATTAACTCCAGCTATAAGTTAATATGCTGCAGGTTAAATTACTTTCAGTGGTTTCAATGAGCAACGACTCTAATAGTAAGGAATCATGGACAGTCATCACTGTGGTCAAAATAATACAAATAAAGGTTATTGCGGTTTTGGGGAAGTAGATACTGATTCATATGAAATGGTTTTGAGTGAATTTTAAAGAAAGTTTAAATTCACAAACTGTCCTTCTGCAGCAAAGATGAGCCAAGATATTAAGACGAAGCACTGATAACACAACGTGAGCCATGAAGTGCACCTGATTGTGTAGTTGAAGCATAAAAAAATGACAAAGTGCTCCTGAAATCAGCATCCTTTGATTAGATATTATGAGCTTTGCAGCATCACAGTGTATAAACTTACAGTCTCTCAACAGCTCAGTGGCGTTCAGGATCTTGGAGCGCTGCTCTGGGTCTGTGATGTTCAGCTCATTCAGGTGAGACTCCTTCAGCCCTGCAAAGTCCTCCAGAGTCTGGAAACCATGCATGGACAGCAAAGAACTCAGCTCCTGCAACATGAGAGAGAATAAGGTTTACATCTCTGCGATCAGACAGAGGTGACCATCGCAACAGTTGCTCTGCAGTTTCCCTCACCATCAGGCCGATGCTGTCCAGGACTTCCTCCAGGGATTTGGGTTTGGATTTGGCTCGGTTGGCTTTTCTGCTGCAGCGTTTCCTCCTGGTCGGGGGGCTTTCGTCGGGCAGGAGGTTCACATAAATGAACTTAAAGGAGCCCACCTTGTTGTTGAGCTTCCCGGTCCAGGTGCCCACGGGGGGCTTCTCGATGATGTGGATGATGTCCCCTTTCTATGAAAAGAGAGAGCATTAATACTGGCAGCCTGACAGGAGATAAAAGAAACTCACAAAAGACAGAATTATGAGTTTAAATTAAAGTCTACGATCATCTCAAAGTTTCGCTCAATATCTGATCAAAAATCTATCCAGTGATTTAAGATAATGATCACCAGTGTAAAAGCTTTGAAAATATGAGTTTATAAATATTTTAAGAACCCCGTCAAGCAGACTTTTCTGATCACACATCATTGTATAAACTGCACTGAAATGATATTTTATCAAAGGGGGTAACCAGTAATGGAGGGTCTTGTAGATTAAACTCTTCCTTCACGGATGATAATCAAAATGACCGGTCTTCTTTTACACAGCTAACAAGCTCCCTGGAGGACGCCTCAGTGAGACAGCAAACGAGGCCAAATCGCAGCCAGTGAGGAAGACTCCCCCCTCCGAGACTCACTTGGAGTTTTAGCGAATCCACATCGTAGGGGCTGGGGGTGAAGTCGGTGTGGACCACAGCGCGGCCGCAGAACGGGCCGTTGTAAGCAATGCCATTCTCCTCCAGTCGCATGCTGTCCCTCTGGCTATATCCACTGTCCAGGCTCTGTCTGTCGCTGTCTGAGGAGGACAGATAAGAAGCTGGGTCAGATTCATCCTGAGGCCTTCGCCTCTGCCCCAGAGGTTTAAACACACTGTAAACATCCCTGTATGACTCCAGGAATCATGCTGATGGGACACTGGGCCTTTATACAATATAAAAGGGGTTTTCAGGCTTTTATTAAAGTAGTATGGCATTTTACAAAGATGTCAGACCTCTAAATAGCATTTGTAACATAAATATATAATATTAGGTTGGACTTATTAACTATGAATGCTGGATAATTAAGTCAAAGCACTTTTCCTCCAGTGGGAAACACGGCCTTTTGAAGACTTGAACAGTTACAAGAACATTTTACTGGGAAAACTTCCCTTCTCAGTCATCTGTAAAATTATCAACTTGCTACTTTCAGTCGCTCCCTGTGGTTTTGCCACAGCGGGTAGCTCCGCATGTTTGATTTGGCAGATTTTTTATACCCTTCCTAACGCAACCTCATAAGGATTGGGTTCGCCTCTTGGGATCAAACTAGGCATCGTTTGCTTGTTAAGTAATTATGAAATCCCTTAAATTGTGTAAATTAAGAAAAGCGGTGGCACTCACAATTTAGTTTAGCTTTGGGATTGAGTAGCACCTGTTTGGGAAACTTTTCTACCTCTGTTAAATTACTCCAACAGCAAAGTTAAGCCTGGTCTAACATTTTAACACTGTTTTAACAGCTATAATGCCGAAGACTCTCTATGCATCTGACCGAGGAAATCAGGTCGACTGAGTCAGTGACCTCCTTTAAATCTAAAATTAAAATACACTTTTAGGGGAGGAGAGCCTTTCCTGTTTTTACTTGAGTAAAAATCCTTCCTTTAAAGAATTCGATAGTCAAGAATCTAGTTTATCATTATAATTATTGTCTTGCTGTTAAAAGAAAATTAATATCACCCTAAAAAAGTATTCAGTGTATCCTTGGGCCACACGCAGTCTGTCACATCTGTGTAGTCGGACCTCCTGTTCCTCTCACACAGCCTGAAGTAGTGATTTTTTTTCACACTTACTGCCAGAGAGCTGGCGGCTGATGGGGCTGGGCATGGTGTCCTCCGAGCCTGTGGAGCACACCGACGTCCTCTGGCCTGCACTCAGATCTGGAAGCCAATCGGAAGGGACAGGAGACAGCTCTTCACCGCTCTCCCCCTGGGGACAACAGTGCAAGTCAGAGGTCAGTTCACATTTACCTCCCATACATAATAAAAAAGTCAAAGAAGTGTCTCATTATCTTTGTCTCAAACTTGTTTCATTACCTTGGAAAATACTTTTGGGCATCTGTCATTGATTTGCAGAAAAGTGAATTCTTCTTTAAAAACACGGTCTGGCTTGTCTTTGTGCTAACAGACATTAACCTTTAAATGACAGATTGGTGGCAGTCTGCTAAATTTAGAGCTCTGAACTGAGTGAGCATTATACCAAACTTTGGTAGGAGATAGACATGAAAAAGCAGAAGCAGTGGAAGAGGGTTTATCAGGCTCTTTACCCAAACATCAGCATCCCCACAAATCTAAAATACTTGATTACAAGAAGAGTGCACAGCACTAGCTGAACTGTAACATTAAATTCTGCAGTATGCTGTATTTTAGTTAAATCTAGAAAACGTTGCATGCAAGTTTTTGTGCAAGGTAAAAGAATAAACCCCTCTGCAGTACATGGATTTCTCCACAAGGTGGAGACAGATTCAAGTTTGTAGTAGTGTGAACTTTTTTTTTTTTTTTTTTTTTTTTAGGTATGCATCACGTGTTAACCTTTGGATTACTTTGTGAAACTTAAACAGTCTTTACCCCTTCTTCAGCTAAAGCCTTCTGCACCATCTTGGACGTTTTGCGGGTCATGGTGCGTGAAATGACATTGCGCCACTTCTTCCCCAGTTTGCTGCCACTTTTCACTGCTTCCTCTGCAGTCACACCATCTGCTACCTGGAGAAAAGGAGAAAAGGGAAAACCACCAGATGAGTTTTCAGTGTTATTTAAAGTCACTGGAATTAAGGTTGAGAGTAGTAAAAAAAAATTCAAATCTAAGCCACTGACATGAATTTCCTCGGTGGCATGGAAGCCAGGTCATAAAAATTTTCTCACAGACTAAGAAGAGCGTTTGTGGTAATGGGGTTTGCGTGCGCACATGTTACTGCCATCCACAAAGTATTTCTCTGTCTCTCTGTAGCACGAACACGCACACACAGACACACAAGCGCTCTACTGTGGTGCTTGAAAGCACAGTTTTAGAGAGTGTTACCAGACTCCATCTGCAGACAAACTGTGTGAAATTGCGTGCTTATTACTGACATCTAAAAATGTCGTTTTCAGGCTTTTGAGGTAGTTAACAGCAGAGACGGGCACATAGCTTAATCACAGTGATTATTAGTATCATGCAGATCCTAAAAAGCAACAGTGGGCGCTTGTGAATTAGTCAAGAGCTGTAGCCCAAAAACTTAACATTAAGTATTAAAAAGAGTGCCAAATAGACAGAATACATCAAGACAACAGATGCAGTTTTATCCTTAAATTGCTGTAGGTAAAATAGATTTGTCAGGTGAGTTATGAAGAGCAGCAGAGAATTCCTAACAGCACCCACCTGGTTAGTGGTCACGTTCAACCACCATAACCTTCTACTAATAATACCCACAGGTTTCTGTTTTGGTTCTGCTACTCAGGTGTAGTTTTGAAGCATGTCGTATTAAGACAAGCTTTTTTCAATGAAGTCTACCATCTGTCCACATTACCTCCTGATTAAACTGTTGTAATTATTTCTATTTCTTCACCAATCGTTACTTTATCACCTGCAGGGTGTACAAAACACAGAAGCTCGTCGTTTCTCAGGAAAGAAACAGTGCGATCACATCACACCTGTACTGGCCTCCCTGCACTGGCTCCTAGTCCATTGCAGGATCCAGTTTAAAATTTTACTATTTGCTTTCATGAGCCCGAGTGGTTTTGTGCCATCCTACTTAACCTGGTCTGTAAACCAGCTGCTTTTAGAAGTTTCTAGATCCACACTCAAAGTTGAGTCGTGTAGTAGTTGAGCAGGTTTCCTGGGTTTTATCATGCGGTCTTATTTATTTGTATTATTGTTTATTTGATGATGTTTTGATATTTTTGCAGACTTTAGTGTATTTATTAGTGATGTGCTGATTGGTAATTATCTTTGTATTTGGCATAACCTATACAACACTTTAATCAGCTGATATTAACAGAATTTTGGGGGGTCAAGCTTGGCTTCCCTGATTTAAAAATCAATACTAGATTTGCAAACTAACCACAAGTTTGTCCATTTAGCTCCATTCCCTCATATTCAGTGAGAAATGTCTTGATTTGAAGCCAATTTTGGTACAAATATGAAATAATTTGGCCCTGGAGAAGCCCTCAAAGCTTGTCGTGCACTTATTCTTAATGAAACACTATCATGAAGAAACGCTGCCGTGTATCGGCAGTGTAAACATTCAGTAACCACAATGACAATGGCAAACCCACGTCTGCAGAGACCGCTGACAGGGGTGTAACAGATGAATTCTCAGCAGAAAGTTTTAAGCTCAGAGTTGACGTAAATGAAAAATAATAAGGCCAAATTTAAATGGATACACTCTTCGGGGGAATACCATTTATGATTTTCGGACGGAGAGGCTCTCTGCTTGACTAGACCGGAGGACATCCTGTCTGCATGCTGTTGTCATCTGGGGCTCTGTGCAATGCTTCTCATTCTTACTTCCTCTGTAATCATTTCTCTCTAACTTCCACTCAGTAACCTGAATGTTGCTGGGAAATTATTAATATATTCTGTTAATTTTAAAAGTGTTATCATTTGTTCACACGTGTAAATCAGGAAGCACCAACTGGGCACTTCTGTAACAGTCATAACTGAAAAAAAGCTTCCACTTGACCTGTGGTGGATGCGTTATTTAGAGAAGGCCACAGTACGAGAGACGAGGAACAATGTAACAAAATATCTGGAGGAACTGCTATTCAGGAAGTTAAAAGAAGAGATAAAATAGGTATTTTTACTTTTATAAACTGATGTTTTGTATATTTTGCTTGTTTTGGGCAAATCCCAGGGAAGAAACTTACATTCTCCTCCAAGCTGAACTCCTTCTCTGACACAACAGGAGAGGTAGGCTTGGGCTTCATGAAATCCTTGAAGCTGCTGGACCTCTGCAGGGTGAGCTGCAAACAAAATGTGCATTGCACTTAAATATCATGAACTCATGAACAGCAAAGAGGATCACACAGTTGTTCAGTGGTTTTCTGTGGAATAACTGATAATGCTGAACTTGCGGTCGTGCACACAGTACGATCTTATCTCCTCAAATTTGTGAACAGAAGGGGTTTCTTAGAAGTAATGTGTGCCAGTGTTTCTCCACACACTGTTATCGAAGTTGAAGTCACGGCTAATTGAACGTCTGCACGGTGATGTGGCTGCATCTGATAAGATTTTACAAAGGTATTGCAGCTGTTTAGCAGGAAACACAAAGGAAATGATGTGCGGCTAGATTCATTAGGGTTTCTGCAATAAATAGCTCGTGTTTTCAAAAGTGGCATACACAAGACCTTGGGGGAAGGACAGGAGCACCAAAGCTAAAATATATACAAGAACATGATTTCATCCTCGCAACAACATTGGTTTTTTTTATTCTTTTTTAGTTCAAACACCAGAAAGGCAAAGCTCTAGTAATTTTGAGCAAAAGAGACAAATTTGACTCATTTTTTTGCATATTTTCCAGATTTAGACTTTCTTGTAGCTGTTGTGGAAACTTTTTGTCTAATTTTCCATTTAACCACGCCGCCGTGCAACATCTTATCGCAGCTCATCCTTCTCTCTCTGCTCAAACCACAGGAAACTGGCAAAGCTTTAGCAACTGCTGCCAGCCAATCATTGCAGACATCCAGCCAGCACCGGTGGCTTACGGTCTACCTTGTAAAGTTTAACCACCAAAGCTTAACCTTCAGCAGTCTTGGGCCTCAGTGACATTTAATATGACAAGTTCTGGTGGCAAATGTTTCTTTTCCCATCCTCAGTTTTTATTTAACAGCCACAGACCTTTCAGCTAAATCAATCTTCTATTAAAGCCGACAACCGCAGCAGTGACATGAGAAGAACAAACGCAGCGAGTTGTGTAATGACATGGCGTGAAAACGACCGCGGGTGGAGAGCTGGATGGAAAATAAGAGCACTGGTGTCAAGTGTAGGAGGTTCACTATCTTGATAGCAGCTGAAGACAAAGTCAGCAGAAGCCACAAAGCCTTCTCTGACTCAAACTACATCTGCAGCAATGATTCACCCTGCCAGAATAGAGGAACTTTACTTTTCTAAAAATGTACCGAGGCTGCAGCCAAAACGGTAGTTAGAAAAGGTAGGAAATATTCTGCTTTAGGCAAAAAGCTGCTGCTGAACCTCAAGTGTTGTCTGTGTTCGTGTGCGTTCAGCTTAACCGCAAAGGTCTGAACTAACTTAAGCTGACATCCTGTGTTGAAAAGATGTGCACACAAAGAAGACAGCTGATGTCGAAGTGCAAACAAGTGTGTGTGGCAACAAAAGTCTACAAAAAGTAACAAATATAAAAGCTATGACTTTCTGTTTAATATAAGCATTTCTAAGTGTAGCTGCACAGACACATCAAAACAAAGAATTACAGCAACCAAAAAAACTCACCTTCTTCTTCTGCACCTGCTCCTTCTCTGAGGCATTTGATGGCCTTCGCCTCAACATCTTGTCCCTCTGTGATCCTCAGATCTCCCCGGACAGAAAGCTGTGGGAAAGTTGGACCCGCTTTAATCACCTGAGGATTTCTGTGACTGCGCGGTCACAGCCCGAGTCTGATTAAAAAACTGAGGAAGCCTGTTGTGTGCTGTGTTGCTGCCGAGTGAACTGCAGAAGCCAGCAGGAAGTCACGTGGCCATGCTGAAACTGAAGAGGCAAACCCTGTTTTTGGTGACTGCACGGAGACTCGTGGTTTTGTTACAAGTATTGCTCACAAGCGCATGCTATTTGCTCTCTGTGGCTCAAAACTGAACATGATACATGCAACCTTAATGAGTATTTCATTACAACACTGTTGACTGTTACCACATATCAAATGGTGCATAATCACCTGTTTCTCATCATCTTTAAAAAAAGTTTTAAAGATAAAAGTTAAGTCAAGTAAAAGCTGGCTGGAGGAATATTAATCAGCAAAAGATGTTGATGATCTTTTGCTGCAGTGTCACAGCTGCAGTGACATCCCGCAGCCACTTATACAACATTACTACCCCTGCACCGTCTTTGAACTTCTGCAAAAAGTTGCAGTTAAATTTACTGGCTGTAAAAACTTCTCTTGTGTATCTTAACATCTGTGTTGTCAGGCTCCTTTGTGTGCTCACGATGTTGAGGACAAATAAAAGGTTTTGATTTTGCAGTCTGTCGTTTAGCTTCAGTTTTAGTGTGGAAGTGAAAGGCAGCTAGAGCTGACATATTTAGCAACTCAGTAACAGCTTTGCAGCTGCAGCTACAGGAGGCCATAAAAAATCAAAAAATCACAAACTGCTGATCAGATTGCCCAAAAACTCACATATTTACTCACAAAGTGGTTTATGGGACAAGTGAGTTAAAACAAAAATGGCCAGACACATCCTGACAGGATAGAAATGGAGCATTGAGACAAAAACAACTTGTGTGACTCAGAAATGTGTGCGCTTGTGAGTGCGCACTGAGCTGGCAGGACAAGGCGAAGTAAATGGCTGGCAGTAAATGTAAAGAGGGAAGTACGATGCAAGTCAAGTTTAGTTTGTTATTTTGGAGGGAGGGGGGGGGAGACCACATGATAAGAGGATGCCCTATTTTAGTTTCCTGTCAGTCGGTTAAAGGTTGGCAAGCAATCTTGCAAAAGATCTCAAATGGGATGAAAACAACAAGCAACAGCTGATTTGGACAGTGCAAACTAACACATAGTAGTGTCAGAAACATTCAGACGTTTGGGTGACTACAGTGCTGCAGAGATAACAAAATAAGAGCTCTTAGCACATGTTTAACGTAACGAAAAAATAAAAACACTCATGCATAATGAAATTTGTGTAAAGAAAACAACAAAACATTATTACGGACGCAGCTGTTATGATTACACTCACGGACACGTGAAGATGCTTTTTTAAATAATTTTTTGGACATTTTTGTAAGAGCATTTCAGAAAGCAAAAGGGAAAATCAAAAAGCTTTGAAATGATCCAAGAATCGAATCCAGGCTCCTGCAGGTTTCCAGCGTAATAGTTATTAGCTCAACCACAGTGAACTAGGGCAGCACCTGTTTTTTGGCTTTTTCTGTAACCAAGTGTAACAAGTGACAACCAGATCTGACAGAGAAACCATGGGACTCTCTTATTTGGTAGCAGTGCAGTCTGATTTATCATCTTATTTACTCTGAGCAGATATGGATAAGCCAAAGGGAACGAACGATTGAACTGGTTACTTCAATGGAGATGATAATTTACAAAATGAAAGCCATGTTGCTGTTGTCCCCTCTGTGAATCACCACCTTGACATGGTGGAGCGCTTTGTGTGCCCCAGCGATCCCTTTGCCTCCTTGAAGGGTCTCCCAAGGTAAATTGGTCCTGAGTGAGGAGGCAGACAACGAGCGATTCAATGGACCAATGACAGGCAAGAAGAGCAAGGGACCTGTGTACCCTGCCCGAGATAGGCCTGGAGCCAAGAACTTGATGGAAAGCGCCTGGTGGTCAGGCCTTAGTCCATGGGGCCCAGGTGCTCGGGGATGCTCCATCTGGCGACTCCATTGTCCTACTGGGAGACTTCAATGACAGAACAGGTGTGATTTGGAGAAATGGCTTGCTTCATCTGAACCTGAATTTTGTGAAGTTTTTTTTTGTACAAATAACAGTTTGTCCATAATGAACACCATGTTCAAACATAAGGATGCACGTGGCACCTGGATAGGTTGCAGGTCCATAATGGATGGATGGAAGATCATGTTATGTTAAATCACAATTAAGAAATAAATTGGTTTGGTTTTAAATACTCCCTATTTCTCTTCCTTAACAAGGGTTAGGGTTTGGTTCTTGAGTGCCAACTTTCTACTTCCACACATAAAAAAAATGGACAAGCCTGTCCATCTATTATGAGTTTTTTTCCAACATTTTTTCAAAGAGTGAGAAATCCAAGTGAAATCTACAAATATTCAGGCTGCTTACTGATGAGATTTGTTCACTAAAACATTAAATTATAATGCTCATTTGCTAACAGCAGGTTGTTTCCACACTGAGATCAGCCAAAACACCAAGACAGCAACAAAGGAAATGCTCTTAGAAAAGAGACATAAATAAGCAGTGGGTGACATCGAGGTGGCTACATCCATCTTTTATACTCTTAGTGTTTCCAGATTACAGACCACGCTTGGCTGTAGCTCAGATCTGCACCTCAACCTGACATAACTTCATCTGCATACGCCTTCACTGAATCACAGTTAGTCTGGAACTACACCAAGATGAGCTCTTCTAAAGGGTCGGGTTATTTGAAGGTGAATAACTACTCATAGTCAGATTTAAGAGATCAAAGTCCACAGGTGTGTATGTACCTCAACTTAAATACGCAGCACTACTTGGATTGTAGTGATAAGCGGAAGACTTGTGTTAAATTAATATGGGAGTGTTTAACAGTAAATACATGGTAAACATAAAAGATCTTTCTATCATAGAGAACAATGATCGCATAGTTTTTCTTCCTCTTCTCTTCTTTTCACCACAAGCTCACCAAAGTGGATGAAAACGCCTTTTCTGAGAGCAATCAGACTCTGTCTTTGAAAGGCTCCGTCATGTGCTTTTAATGACCAGAGATGCAGATGCAGGGTGCGAAGTGTCGACGCTTGTCTTCACACCTTCAAGTCACGCTGACAGAACAGTTGCCCAGCAACCCAAGTCTACCAGCAGGAGCGGCTCTAAGCTGCTGAACCACGAGTCCAGTTATGTGAAGCTGCAGGTTGAATTTGATTATGATTCGATTTCAGATGTTGTCATTTTTTAATGAAGAACTTCATGCATTGGGAATTTGTGTGCCCTAAGTAGCCTTTTTGGCATCAGTTATTCTGTGACTTTTTCAGAGTCAAATACTGATTCTCTTTGTAGATGCATATTTCTCATTTAATATATTTTACAGCCACTGTTTACTTTCCTGTGCCTTTGTCTGGAGAAGTAACTTCATTAAATGTGCACCTATATGATCAGTTAATTTTAATACAGTACTGTGCAAACGTCTCAAGTCCCTCCTCATTTCTTTGTATTCTGCTAGAAAAACTGGAAATAGGTACAGCATTTCAGATTAGAATACTGCACCTTTTATACTGCTCAAGTGAGAAACATGTAAAAAAAACACATCCTATGTTAGTTTTACAACACCATGATGGTACTACTACTGTAGCTCACATGTTTTGGCCCTGCCAACACTTTTTGAGGCCCTCTCACACTTGTGTGGAAAAATGGTGGTACATTTTTCATACATCTCCAACTTTGGGGGTTTTCCCTTTAGTGATCACAGTTTCTGTGAAAGAAACAGGCACAGCTTTAGCTTCATTAATAAGATGATTAATGAGAAGCAGATAAGTCTACATCTTTAAATAACTGGATTAGAGCTTTTTATGCTGCGGTTAGAAAAACTGAGGTACAGTCAAGTCAACTCTCTGGAAAAATTCAGAGTGATCTGATGATCATCCATTGGATAGTGGAATAAAAAAAATGAGCGGATCACAATGCAATACCTGTCACCAAAACACAACATGCACTCCTATTTCTTTATTTGAATTTGTGAAAAGTGTCAGTGGCATCCAGTTTAACAGTTTAATTAATTATATTTTTGTGTCATCGATTAAATTCCCAAAGAGCTGTATTTGAAAGTCATGTTTCACCTGCGTTTACACTGGACCTCATTTTTTGTTGGTTTCTTTGAAGGATTTCACACAAAAAACTTTTGACAGCTTTCATTCTTTGACTTTGTGTTTTCTCCTATTTATAGAAATATCTTTCATCACAATGTCACACATGCTGAACTCTATTTTTGTTGGTTTTATTTTTGTTGGTCGCTGCCCAACAGCTTGTTGGTCCATTACTGTTATGTTTGTGTGATAGTAGCAAACTAATGTCTGCCAGGCACCATTAAGAACAAAAAACATTTGCATAAATGGTTACTTAAAAAAACAAAAAAATAACTTAATGACTACTTAAATATTTGAATATCGTGCACATCCCTTGGGGTTTTCCCTAATGCAGTTATGCCTGTCACATAGCCATATTTATGAGCACAGCATATATACTGTTTGCAAGTGGCAGCCAGTTACAGGAACGTTGGCTTATACGGAGGGGAAGTGAGCTAAGATGTCACATTTACATAGTAAAAAAAGAGGTGGACATCACGTGATTAGTTTTGTTGTGAAGCACTCATATGAGCATTTTCACCAACACGCATCATCCCAGAGGAGAGTCCACAACAACGAAATCATGTGTGTGCGTGTTTGTGTGTCCAGGGTAATGGCATTTGGCAAAAAAGATTCAGAGATTTCATGAAGTCAGATACTCAGAAACCATGTTGTCACTTTGTTGCATTCGTTATTCACGTTTCTCAGAATAAAAGTCTTCTTTTATGTCTTTATTCAGTTGATGAACCTCTTCTAGTTGCAAAGTTTGAGCTGTTTATCTCACTTTTAGCTCAGTTTTGAATCTGAAAAACATTACGTGGGCTAGATGTGGTACACACACAACAGCACAGCTGACATTTGGCCCATATGAGGTTGACCTGTGGCTAAGTTTATGCACTCACACTGCATCAGGGCTACCAATTCAGGCCAAATGCAACCTAAAATAACTACAAATATGAGCTACTGTCTCCAAAATGTGTGTTAAAAACTCACCTCTGTGCCACTTGTCCATTTAAGTTTTTGTTATTTATTTTCCTGGGTACCAATCAGCAGTTTGGACAAGAAAGCAGCGTAGCTTTACAGTTAATCTTTGGGTTTCTCTACTAACTAAATCACCTCTTACCTGGGTATATCAACCTGGTAACTTATGCTGCTCCAGAGTTGGTTATGTTCTAAATTAGAGACAAACATGTATGAAATCACCAGTCAACTCTTTTTGTGTCACTGCTGCAGTTTGTTGATCAGTAAAAACTCATATTAAATAAAACATTTACATATAAAATATATGCAAGGTAGGCTGACTACTTCTGTAAAATAAAAACATCCTGGTAACCTGTTAACTTTAACATCTGGTGGTGTCCATCATGCTTCTGCACACTTGTCTTTTGGAGGTTTCTCTCTCCTCTTCTTGTATTTCATCAACTGTAACCACAGGGTTCAGCATTGGCCCTCTGTCCCAATTACTTATTTTACCTGGACCACATACTGCTGATGCTAGCATCCTTCCCCAGAACTGTGCCTTGACAAACTCATCTCTTATATCTAGAGACAAGTTTCTTGTCCTCAAAGCTCATTTTTTACTTTGGCACAAACCCTCTTAGAGCTGGCGCTGACTAAATTTAATTAGACACTGGAGGTTGTAAAAGCATATCAATGACCTTTGATGGAAATAGGTCACACCAGAGCTCAGTGTCATAACAAAGGGTCTGAACACTTACAGTATATAAATAGGATATTTCAGTGTATTATTTCAGTACAGGAACACTCCATGTTTTTGCTGCCTCATTGTGCTGTATTCTCTGGGTGATCGTGATTTGAGGAAGGCATCCATCTCAGTCAAGTCGAGCAGCCGCCTCTACTTTTTTCGGTGGGTGGTTGTTACATTAAAAAAGTCTACCTTGTAATTTGAATGCAAAAACTTCACATTTCTATCTTGAATGTAATTAAATCATGTAAGATCTGTATGAAATTCAACAACTTAATTTGTTCTTGTTGAGATCACATGATACAATCTAGTAAGAGTGGTTAGTTGCTGGACTCATGAAATTCACAAAATCGCAGGAGATTTCAAACTGCAGGAAAATCACTGGAGTTATACGAGGCAGACAACTACACACACGCCACGTGTATGCTATTGCTATTTATTGTGTTTATTGTGCAAATGGTTGTTTGTCTCTACGTGATAGACTGGTGAGCTGTCCAGGCTGTACCCTGCCTCTTATCCTATCACTTCTGGGTTATGCCCAAACCCCCCCTGCAACCTGGATAAAAATGGAAATTCTGCAGCAAGGAGGCCGTTAGTCGTTTTAGATCCATTCAATTCCAATGTTAACCAGACTCTAGACTTTGTTGAACATTATGTAATATGAAGACAACATGTAGTATTTAAGTATTTAAGTAGTATGTAAGTGGCCATGTAGTATTGGGGTAAAAGCTATTCAATAGTGTTGAAATAAAATGACAAAATTGCAAAGGATTAAAATATTCCAAGAACTCACCTTACTTCATCTAAACATGTTTCAATCGCGTTTTATCAACACAAAATGCACGGGTTTGTTGAATATGAATAAGTTGTGTTGATTGAACTCAGTTGTTTAAGTTTCTGCCAAAGAAAAACACTTGTGTGCAACCAATGTCCACTATTGAATTAAGTAAATCCAACATGGTCCCTTTTTTCAGTGTAGACTGGTGAGAAACAAATAAAACCACTTTGCAAGTTCCTTAACAAACCCTTTTTTTTTTAGTCTTTACTTTAATAAAATAGAAACAATATTATCTGGTCATACAAATGTCCAGTTTAAAACCTCTAAATTATCACAACAAATCATTTAAAACTCCACATCAAACATTTACCAACATAATTCAATTATTAAATACATCTTTCAATAAAAAAAAAAAAGAAGTTAAATTGCATCTCTCAACCCGGTATAGCTGCTCAACTGAGACTGCATAGGAGTAACAGTGTGCAAGTCTGCTGCGAATGGAGTAAGTGCAGTGGAGATGGAGATGCTCAGACGATATTGTGGAGCATAGCGACAGCCAGAGCGATGAGGGTCAGCGAGGACGAAGAGACGGAGGCAGACGAGCCAATCTCAGCGAAAGGCTCCGTGTTTCTAAGCATCCAGTCCTTCTCCTCATGAAGGCCCTGATTGTCCAGTTCAGCACCCACCAGGCTCCGGATTGTCTCGTAGTATTTATTCAGCCAGTGAAGCTGGTGAGAGAAGAACATTTACTGAATGTTTACTGTTTAATATTCCAGCTGAATTTAATAAGCTTTATTCCAAAGTAACCAAAATTGCTTAACAAGGATAAAACAGAATTTCCTTTTTGTTTTAGTGAAGAAATAAATGCACATTATGAAAGTGTTCGCACGTAATGATTCATTTATGCAACACATGATGAACATCCTGTGGTTCCTCAGTTTTCCTCACAGTCAGCCTATTGTCATTACGCAGAAATGTTTAGCGTTATAAATTTTAAAAAATGTATCGTCATTGCTCCTCAGATGAACCACTTTATTTCATTTTGGAGTGTTATGGACTCTGGAAAAGATCATTTTCAGTAAGAAGTCTGTGAAACTGACGACTTAGACTTCCGGCTCTGATGAAATTCAGTTTGCACAACCAGTCAAATGACGTGATCCATTTTTAAAGGACTTACAAAACAATCCTTCCTGTGGCAAAATGCAAAACAATCTACAAAACCATCGATTGGGCAACCATCGATTGCGTGCTGTATGTCTGTGCTGTACACTCCAGTTTTAAGGGGCTTCACAAGAAACTGTACTTAAAACACTGCTGTTCAAAGGTACAGAGCCTTGCTATCTGGCAACATGTGAGAGATTTTGAGACACTGTCATAAAGGTCCACAGAAGGATGAACATGGTGAGCAACAATACTTAGGTAGGCTTTGGATTTAAACGATGCTCAGTTCATACCGTGGGGCCCCGGAAACAATTCAAAATGAGGAAGGCTTTTGGGATGGGTGGGCAAAAACCATTCCTGATTTGAGAACTGCATTAAGAGTGCTGAGAATGACGGTCATGGTGTGAGGATTGACTGCAACATAAAGAAAATAACTCCACAAATAAGTTGTAAGGAAAATGCCTTCATCCTAACACCACAGTTTACTCTATATACTCCAACAATTTCTGCATGCAAGCCTTCATTCAGGGACTACTGGTTAGCTTTGATCTTGTTCCAGTCAGATTTGTGAGGCATAGTGTAGTTACTCATACTGTACTTACCCATTAATAATAATGTTAGCTCACCATATAAACTGAAAAGGGCTACAATTAGTCCCTTTTTACGAATCAATGCAAATCAGACGATTGCAATTACAGAGCAGAATCAGTTTTTAAAAACAAGACTGTTTAGTGTCTGACTCCTGACACCTATTCTATTTATTATAAACAGCCCCTAAGAATACATATGCAAACAATTCCCTACACTATTACACCATCCCGTGTACTCAATTAGTGATACAAGACAGGACTGATTCATGCATTCATTCAAATGCTGCAGCAAACATTGAGACCAGACAGCATTTGTCTAATCTTCTATTATCCAATGTTGGTGAATCTGTGTGACTTGTAACCTCAGTTTCGTCTCCTGGCAAGCACTCTGTGTGGTCTGCACCTGTAAACCATCTGCTGCAAGGTTCAAAGCGCATTCAGAGATGCTCTTGTGCATATCTTGGTTGTAGTGGTTATATTTTACAATTCTTCTCTAACATCAACAAGGGAACTGCTGCTCATGGGATATTTGCTTTAAAGTGCACAAAAATACACTAGATTTAAATAATACCAGGATTTAAACGTTCATGAACTCTACAAAAGTAACATCTGTTTGTGGTTATCAAAAGTTAATGTCATCTTGATTTGAAAAAAAAAAAAAAAAAAGCAGCATAACAAGTTCTTACATTTTCCACTTCTAAAGAAGAGCCAAAACACAGAAGTTGATTTCACACGTGGTTTTGTTTTCTTTACAGAGCGTTTTGATCAGTGAACCGTAGACAAACTGCAGCTTAAAGCGTATAATGGGGGATTTTAAGAGGAAACCAGCATTGGTATTGCAGGCAAAAGAGCCTCTGATATGACAGGTTTGTATACCCAAAGGTATTTACAAATTAAAACTAGAAATTAGTTTTGGGGAAGTAAACTCACACCGAGGTGCAGCCGAGCATTCATTTTATGCCTTCACGTCAGCACATATTTGTATCTCATTTTCAGAAATTGGAGGCAAATGTCTTGTAGTTGATTATGCAATGAGATGCAATTTCTTACCTGCTCTGAGCTGAGCAGTGACATGTCAATCAGCTTTCTGTCATATGGAACCAGTGATACAGTGTCAAAGGTCAGGTAGTTATTTCCATACTGAAGGACAGAAAAGAAAATCCACATAACGTTACCTTCACGTTACATTAAAAAAAATGATATAATTCCAGATTATCAATAAGGCACCACTTAATTTTCACCTTTGTCTGAACCGGTACGACCACTGCAACATCTTCAATCCGGATCCCAAAGTCATTCTCCTTATAATATCCAGGTTCTATGAGCAAAATCAAGCGATTTTTCAGGATTTTGACATTTTGCACAGAAAAACTTTACAAAATAAAACTCACCGATAGACGTGAACATGCCGGCTCTGAAGCCAATGTTGTTGCTTTGGAAGCCAACAGGCCCTGGGGATACATTACATTAACTCATGATTAAAATGCAAGTTACGTTACAGAAAAACAAATAAACCTCTCCATGATTTACTCTACAATATATACATTGGAAGCTTGTGAACATCATGCAACCTAAAGTGTATTTTCATGATCATGCTGGTCAGTGGATATCAAGTATTAAAGAGGAATTATCAGAGGTCATTATTCATGAGCCAAAATGTCAGACTTCAGTTTCAGCTTTTTTACTCTTTAACCCTGTTAATGTGGTGGAACATACAGCTGAGACTGATGAGAATAGTTTTCTGGAAAGTTAAAGGCGAGCTTTTATGATTTTTGTATCTCTGTCATACATTACTGTCGCTGTGGATATCCATAATATAGTAATCTCAGGCATTTAGCTAAGGCTGTAAGCTGGCCGGGGACCTTTTGTGTGGATTTGCATGCTCTGTCCAGGTACCTGGGCTTCCACCCACAGTCCAAAGACATGCATGTTAGATTAATGTGAATGTGAGTTTGAATGGTTGCCTCTCTGTTTTATGACTGCTGGGACAGGCTCCAGCCAAACTGCAACTCTGATTTGGATAAGTGGAAGAAAGTGGATGGATAAATGGATCAACAGACTCTTGACTGACATTTCAATGTTTTATATATTAAACAGTTGAGAGATGATGAAAATAATTGTTACCTTCAGCCCTATTAGGAATAATTTCCTCCTGATATTGTTAAAAAACAATTAAACACCATTTGGGGCACAGAATGGACCAGCCACTTAAAAATCAGCCCAATTTTATTTATCCTTGACACACTGTATGATTTTATTTATTTATTCGTTTTAACTCAGAAGGTGGAGAGAAGTAAGCAAAGCGTGATAACTAAACAAAGTGTTTTAATACCCTCTAGCATCTTTTTTGCGGAGGCTGGAAGGAATAAAAGTAATGCTTTCAGAGGTTTTTTTTTTATCCCACTTTGTCTTCTGCATCTGTAATAATGCAGAAGACAAAGTGGGATAACCGTTAAATTGTTTCAGTTTCAACATGGTTGATTTAGTGGAAGATTTGGTGCCACTTCTCTTTTTTATTAAATTATACGTTTCCTTGAAATTCTTGTACTTTGTGGCTTTTTCGAAGTTTTTGTACACCTGGGACACATTTGACATGGACTCTCATCCACAGATAGATACTTAGTAACTACTACTGGAAAGATTAAATGCATAAACCCTTTCTCTCGCAGTGTAGCCCATTTTCTGAAACCTTTCTGAGATATTGTTGTGATGCATAGATGCAAGTGTACGCACTGAAAAATAAAACAGTGTTCAAAAAACAGCACGCGGCATATTTGGCATCTCAAAGTCATCTCCAAATAAAGGTTCGTACACTCATGAACCCCGAAGTAGTTTCCGACACCGTGACCTGTGCCATGGCCGTAGTTCAGGCCCACCTCCCACAATGCCCGGCGACCCAGCATCTCCATGTTCACACCTGTTGATGAACAAAAACCTCCAGTCAGACATCCTGTACCAGACACGCTACATCTACTCACAGCTATGGTCTATGGTGGAGGAAGGGGGCTCTCTAGTGGTGAAACAGAAAGATTTCATTTAAGATGTGTTTATTTTTCATTCCCACCTCTTGTCCCGGAGGGAAAAATGGTTCTGGATATCTCAATGTTTCCCATCAGCACTCGAGTGAAGGCCTCCTGTGAAGCAAGACGTGGTAAATGATAGGAAACTTGTGTTTTGAACAAAATAATAAGAATTAAAGAATTAGCATATTGAAAAAAATAGAAAGGAGCAAAGTTGATTGATTGCTATATGACTGATTAGACTGATTATAAGGAAATATTAACATATCTTCTCTATCAGTAATACCTTTTGCATTTCTGTGGGCTTTCCCCAGTGAACCGTCCGAGTGATGTCAGTGGTGCCATCTCTGAAAATAGTGAGAGACACGGTGACTCATTTTAAACGCTCGTGACATAAAATGAAACTACAGAAGTGTGTGAAGAGATCATTTTTACTCACAGATACTGGCCACCAGAATCAACCAGGTACATCTCATCAACTGTCAACCTCCGGTTTGTTTCTTTTGTAGGGCTGTAGCACAAAAACAGGAAATGATAGTAGCACTGCTTGCTGGTGTTTTTCAAATGTGTTGAACTATTAGCAAAAGAAAAAAAATGCCTTCATGCAAAAAATCCAAAAACATAATAATGTTATTGTTATTTTGTGATAACCGCAGGGCTCTAAGGCTCAGAAAGATATAATCAGGCTGTTTATAATAAGACCGTGCGGGCCTCATTTTGTGAGGCACAAAAGTTGAGGAAAGAAAAATATTCTCAGTTACTCATCTTTTACAGATTTTCCTCGATGCCTTTTATGCAGGTCTCACATCAGGAAAGTCGCCCTCACGCTTAGTTCTCAAAACATCTCTCACAACACACACTCATTTTTATAAAAGACAAAAAAGTGTCAACACATGCAAAGCCACTCGATCACTTTAACTCTGCAACCAATGACTAAAAACCTTTCAGTCAAATAATTTTATGTTTTCATCAAAACCTTACTGGAACCAGCACCTCTCTCTAAACCACTCGCACCACCTATTTGTGTGATATATGCTTGTGTGTAACCAGGCATTCCTGACACAAGACTGAGAGCATGCATTTCTATTTGCTTCAAATCAAGGGCATCTGCTACTTCTAAGAGTGCTGAGAATGACGGTTATGATGTGAGGATTGAATGCAACATAAAGAAAATAACTCCACAAATAAGTTGTAGGGAAAATGCCTTCATCCTAATACCACAGTTTACTCTATATACTCCAACAATTTCTGCATGCAAGCTTTCATTCAGGGACTACTGGTTAGCTTTGACCTTGTTCCAGTCAGATTTGTGAGGCATAGTGTAGTTACTCATACTGTACTTACCCATTAATAATAATGTTAGCTCACCATATAAACTGAAAAGGGCTACAATTAGTCCCTTTTTACGAATCAATGCAAATCAGACGATTGCAATTACAGAGCAGAATCAGTTTTTAAAAACAAGACTGTTTAGTGTCTGACTCCTGACACCTATTCTATTTATTATAAACAGCCCCTAAGAATACATATGCACATTTACACTAAATGGCCACACCTTTGAATATTTGATTTCAGGTGTTTTGAGTCCCATTTCCACAGGTGTATAAAGCCACAGCAGAGCCATGCAGTCTGCTTTACAAACGTGAAACAATGAGTCACTCTAAAGAGTGCGGTTCGATAATAGGATGCCACTGCTGCAACAATGTGTGAAATTTCTTCCGTGTGAGAGGAGCTTCATGAATGGGCTTCCATTGCTGAGCAGCTGCATACAAGCCTTATACAATCCTGTGTAAGCATCTGGGGTGGAATAAAGCATGATGCTACTGGACAGTGGTGCAGTTGAGTTATGTGGCGTGTCAAGTCATACTTCTCTGTGTGGCAGTCTAATGCCACACCAGGTCAGGGTTTGTTGAATTCTCTGTTTTCAGCTGTGTGGTAACATTTTGAGGAACACCCTTTTCTAGCATGTCTTTGCCTCAGTGCACAAAGCAAGTCCCACAGAGGCATGGTTGGATTAGAACTTGATGGGTCCACACAAAGCTCAACACCGATTGGATGAACTAGAATGGAAATTGTGAGCCAGGACCTCAAAGATACTTTTGTGGATAAATGGGCAAAACTTCCCACAGACAGGTGTAAAGTACAGGTATTTTGTCCATATAGTGCAGTGACTCATCTTTTGATGTCAGTCTGAATGCAAAAAAACAAAAATGAGTGTATTGAATGTGTTTGCGTGTTCAGTCTAAGCACTCCAACATTTTTTCAGTTTCTGCATACAAGCCTCATTCAGTTAGTCTTGTTCCAGGAAGATCTGAGGCAGTATTCTGGTGTAATTACTCATACTGTACTATTACTCCAGATTTCCCCATAAACTGAAAAGTGCTACACTCAGTCCCTTTTTAACATCAATACAAATCAAACATCAATATCAGTTTTAAAAAGCAAGACTTTTCAATGCACAGTGGTTGAGCAGGTTTAGGCTTACTTGGATACAATCTGTCATTTGGTTTAACTCTAGTTTTATTTATTATTTATTTTTTAATTCACGATTAACAAAACCGCTCATTCTGCTTGACTTGCAAACAGTCTAACACTACGAATCAATCACCATCACCATCAAGGGACTTGCCCACAGTACAGTGAATCTGAATCAGCTTCTGTGACAGTGTTTTTCCTGTACTCGACCCTTAAAAAAAACTAAACAAAACACTGAATTAAAATTATAAAGCCACAGTTTACTACAAAATGCTTTGCTGTTTTTCATATCATCTGACTGTAGAGGTTTCTCTCTATAATATTGTAGGGTATTCATTTGATAACATTCGGGGCGGGGGGCTTGAGATGATGGTTATTGTAGACTGGCACCTTATATAACTGAACGCATTATCAGAACTCGAGTATGTGACATGTGAGCTGAGGACGTTTATAAATAATTTGTAGGAGCTGTAAAATGAAAGGTGATGATTCTGCATGACTGTTTCCAGGAAACGTGTTTCTTGAGTTTGTGACAATCTTAGCTCAACCAGCTTTCAGTATATTTGGGAAAACTAAGTAGTTCTTTTAGGAGTAAAAAGATCCCGTCAAAAAACATGCAAAAAGAAGATTTTGGATGTATATTTAGGATATTCTACCAGATATTTAGCATGCCAGCAAAAACAAGTTCCTGTTTTGGCTTTAAGTGTTTTTTTTCTCCCCTTCTTTTTTTTAAAAAATCCAGTAATGTTATCCTATTTTTACAGCTATGAGAACTACAGAACATCATGCAAAAATACTAAGGTACAATATTCATTTAATAAATGCCTTGGAAAAGTCATGTTGGTTGTGAAATATTTAAGAAGGTTAAGACTGCTGCGAGTACACCACAACCACCAACAAAAGCAGCAACAAGTTAATGATACCACAAAAATGTTACAATGCTGCCTTGTTGTGGAACTACAGACAATTACAAATCCAGATGCGTAATGTCAGGTTTACGCAATCATATAAGGTCCTAAAGGGACCTATAATTAAATCTTCTGTTACTTTTTTAACCTTAAACTTTTATGCTTTTTAAGGACCTTGTTGTTTAGTTTGTGTTCTTTTTTTTGGTTTGAACATCTTGGGTCATAATGGAAAAGCCTACACTTGAATTCCGATTGATTTTTTATCTTATAATCCATTAAAAAAAAGTGCACCAATGAAATCTTGAATATCTGAGCACCTCACAATGATTTAAAAAGATTCAGCAAACATTTAGGTCATTTTTGGCATCCAGCATGATAGTTTACTGTAATCTTCTTTGAATGCATCCTTAAAAATGCAAAAATGAGTATAAAGATGTCGGGATGAAAATTAATCTCACCTGTAATGGGCAAGAGCAGCATTAGGTCCACTTGCAGAAATGGTGGCAAAGCTTGGGCCTCTGCTGTCCTTCTGTTTGCTGGAATGACGTTCACATAATTCTTTAATTATACTGTTACAAATTTGAGTTTGAGTTTCATAATTTCTAAAATTTCTCATCTTTCATGTGTAACAACTCCTTTAAACTTTACATTTTCAAATTAAATAGTTGGCTTCAAATACTTCATGTCAGCCGTCCCTGTTCCCACCCACCTGCGGCACTTGTCGACGTATTCTGCAGCGGTCAGTTCAGTCGCATTCCCCTCTGGCACGGTCTTTTCCAGCCACATCAGGAACTGGATAACAGCAACGGCATCCCTCACCTGCACAGAGTCACCGTGACAATGAAAATGATGCAGATTAAAAATGCATATGGCATGTTGAAAGGCACCTTTGAATGGGGTAATGCATTTACTCAGATGTATGTTTACTCAGTATCTCCTTTGGAGGTATTATGCGTGTCTGAGTGGATGACATACGTGAGCATCCCGTAAAATCTGCTGCTCAGTCTCATCTTTCACAGCTTTTGTCGTCAGCACGGGAGAGTAGGAACTTGTCAATAGTTTGTCCTACATGATGCAAAAAAATAATGATTATTAATTATTATTTTTTATTACCCATTTTGTAAAATTCTACATATTTATTAGTAGAAAGGCCTTGTTTAAAAAGGTGGAAACAAGACCCAGGGGTACTTAAACTCAGCCTGACCAGTCATTTTTTCAAATCATGTAATCCACATGGTCTGACTAAAGAACATGGGGATCTTCATAGTGATATGTGATATCAGGGGGGCGTTACTGCACAGAGAATAGTTATTTTTCACATCTGTGAAGGCCCGGTTTGCAGCTGTGTGTGACATGGCTGGAATGATAATTGGCACCTCCTAGTCTGAAGTCATGGTTCTCAATTGGAAAAGGGTGGAGTGGCTTACTCTAGGGTCAGGAACTGGTTGCTCCAAGCGATGGAGTTCAAGTATGTCCGTGACTGACGAAGGAAGTGGTTGTCACTGTTCTGATGGCTCCTGAGTCACTAAATTTAAGGATAGGATCCTGCCTTCACCCTTTGCCACATTAGTTTGAGGTAGCAGCAGAGTGGTTCGAGCGGTCCAGGGAAAGAGCTCAAATGCGATCACCTATCAAAGTGTTCGCAATAAAGCAAACACTTTGTGTGTCGTGTTCTGATAGGGTTTCCCATAGCCCAGGAAGTGCTACACTGGCAACCAACTACTCCAACGCTCCATGTCAGACCCACAGCCCATGCAGCCAATGCAAATAACATGACAAATAATTCTTGCTTAACATGTTCGAGGCCACAGCACTCGCATGTCAGTGCCCTTTGTGCCTCTTTCCCCCCTAAAGACGTATTTTTTGCTTTTCCAAAAGTTTTTAAACAAGGAAGCCTTTTGTGCCTCTCATTGTTAACAGAAGTCCCACTTGAATATATTGGCATCAACCCCCAAAAAAGAGTGCCTGGCAATCCAATGGGGGGTTGACTCTGTTCGTTATTACCTCCTGGGATGCCCATTCACCCTCTGCTCATTCCACGCCCCACTGCAGTGGTTTCATAACATGAAAGATGCCAATGCTTGGATTAACTGCTAGTAACCACCTAGTAGTGGTCCATAGGTTGGGAGGTGCAGATTGCTGGAGCTGACTTCCTTTCTAATTCGTGAGGGGGGCTGTAGGTTAAGCCATACGGCTCCCTGGGTTAATTCAATTTTGCTACGTGGTGGCGGGAAGTGGTTCGTGGCTCTGGCAGTGCCAGGTGAGGACAGCTGACAGCAATGATCTAATCAGGTCCTGAGAACAAGCCCATTCATCTATCAGAATCAGAATCAGAATCAGAAACTTTATTGTCATTGTCATGAGAACATGGATATTTGTTTTTAGTCTGTATCTTTTGATTTATTTGAGCTACTCTACCAAGTCCCGATGTATTAAATAGAGGACATCCTGGGCTTTCCATTGATATCGCATGTGTTGGCCTCTTGGGTGGCCTCTTTTAGCTCCAAAGAGAAAAGAAATCACAAAAAACGTCAATGGGAAGATTTATTTCCCCCTCGGTTCTCAGGAGGATATTTTACGCAGTAGTGCGCTGGTGTGTGGAAAGGAGTCTGAGATGGCTGAGAGTGTGAGAGTGGCTGGAGCTGTCCTGGGAAGGAGCTCAAATGATCATCCATCAAAGAAGTGCTAGTCCTTCCTCAACTTTTTAAAGCTTGAAGTCTGTGGCCATCAACTTTACAATGAGCATAAAGCAATAAACCTTTGCAGTTTTATTTTATAGGTCATCTGTCCAATATTTTCAGTTAAGCACACTGTAAATTTAGAAGGAGCCCTGTCACAGACTATCATCCTATCTGAGCTGTGACAGGTTTGAGCCCTTGACACCATAAGTGTAGGCAGACAAAAAAATAAAAAATAAAATAGATGCATTAGTTTATTTTTTACAGTTTTACTGGGAAAATATGAATCTGTGTTCTCTTCAGTATATTACGCATTAGACAAACAGTCATTTGATCCAAAGAATTGATTAGTGCAGCTTTATAATTTACAACAGCTCTTCCATCGAGAACAGCAGTGCAAACAGATTGTTAGACATAAAAAATAAATAAATAAAAAACTATCACGGTGGGCATAATTATGCTGTGCAACACATAAAAGGAAATAAAAGGTCTGCATACCTGTGGTGTAATGACCTCATAAAGAGCGTAGTTTGTGTACTCTGTACCGATCCACACCTTAACCCCAGGCCTGGTCACATAGTTCTTCAGATGATCGAGGATGGTATCATAACCTTTTAGCTGCACACAGAGGGCCCCTTCACAAGAGGCATTCAAGTACACCTTCAACTCTTCAGTCACCCGCTCCACGTGGAGAAAGAGCCTGTTACATGACGTGAAGGGAAATAAATACTGCATATCCTTTTACATAATATATAAACCACTGATAATAGGTTTGCAGCTGGTATTTGTGATGGGAATTATAGGAAATAAGGAAATGCAAAACGATTTTTATTCGGTGAAGTGTAGTGTCTAAAAAAATGAACCTACCAGATCTCATCCATTGTGAGTAGAGTGTAGGAGTAGAAGAAAGGGTTGTACGGGATGTCATTGCCACGCATGTTGAAAAGCCCTAAAAACAAACAAAGAAAACATCTCACTGTCAGCAAGTTCATTTATTTCCTCACTGGGATCAATTTGGGCCATGAAGCGCTCTTTGCATCTATTGTGAGACTTACGCGACTCTCTCTGTGTAGCTGCTATTTCAAAACAGGCTCTAATTCAAGTCGGAGTCACGAACAGTCTTCCGAATGGTACCCTTCCTGTGTTGGTTTGTGGGTAGACTGCCTTTGTATAATTCAGTCTGCAGAAATCTTGCTTATTTCCGATTCAATCACATCATTTAACCTGTGTGGAGTGATGGAGCTGGAGGAGTGATTTTAGGTTGACATATAGAGAAATTGTTTGAATACGTTTCTAAGTGATTTCTTTTTTAATCCTAATATTCTTTATCTTAAAGGATTCTTTTTTTGCAATTACTTTCTTTAAAGTTAACATGTTCATTAGTGGGGTGAAGATTTTGTACCCAGTGGTAGCTTTAGACAGTATAAAAGATGGACATGGCTTCCAGATCGGAAGATGGAAAATAAAGTTTATGTACCTTAAAACTGCATTCTTTTGATTGCCAGCAGGGGGCGATAGCTGACTCTCCTGATGAGGTTTTGTGCTCAGTCACTCATTTTGGGTCATAATTGAGAAACAAGTGGCAAAAATAGCTCATCTGTATTTTATTGTGCTTGTGTCCATTGAAACAGGAAAGAGAGCCACACTGGAGTTCTCCAGAATCAAAAACGTGTTGCCGGCTTACTTTCGACACTGCCTCCATCAGGCAATAGGTGCTCTCTGCAAGTAGACATGCTACCTGAGATCCCAATGGTCTGCCAGTACATTGAGTGATTTGTGGTCATATCACCCAGCCCTAATGGATGGATTACTTGGCTGGTTGTCCATCCAATAAAGGTTACACTGACTTGCTTCATATTGGTACATGTCATGACGTGAAAGACAGGCCCTGGCCCTAGTTTAACTTCAGTTGATATCTGATCAGCCCAATACACCGACAAGTTAAAACTTCTTAGAACTTAAAACTTCTTCACCATTAGTTCATACGGGAAGATTAAGTATTTAAAACACAAAAACTGCTAAAATAAACTATTGTACTTTAGCAATACTTTAAGAACATTAATGGAAGTGAAAAAAGCTTTTTTAGAGTCTACGAATGTGACAGAAAAACAAATACATTTATTTAGCAACAGTAATTATTTATTATTATAGTAATTATTTATTATTATTTATTATTTATTTAAATACTTTTAGACAAAGGTATCCTTGCTATGTGTCTTTTTTAATATTTGTAGATCCTCTAAAGGTAAGGATATTACTTAAAATGCAATCAAATCATCTTTAGTGAACCCTTATTTTAATCACGATATTAGTAGTGTTTCATAGGTTTTTAAATTAAAGAAATTAATTAATTAGAAATGAGAAAAAAAAAGTCAGTTTTCTACTGACTGCTGTGCTGTTACACTGTAGAAAACAAGGCCTGAAGCAAACAAATATGCAGTGCAGCTGCATGTCACTGGTAGGCAGCATGTTGTTACTGGTACTGAACAGTTAGGACCACAAACACATCTAAAACAGATCTGAGACATTTTCAGGTTAATTTATATGCAGCAGCTGAGTAGCTTGTTGGGACAGGATGTTGGGCAAGTAAAAGAGCAATAAGGAAAGCTATTCAGGGGGACTTTAAAATGAACTGATATTTCCTTCTTGTCATGCTGAATAGGGGAATGTAGTTCTGGACATTCAAATAAGCTTGAATCAAATGGGGGGAATTTAAATTCTGCCCTCGTGGTGGTGAAGAGCGTCTAAGACCTGCAATGAATGCATTAGAGCAGGATATGCCTCAGGTGCTTTTCTCAGTGATCCAGTTGTAGCTCAATATAAATATGCACCACAATTAACTAAGGCATTTCTGAACGGCATTATAAGATATATAAGATTGCAGTTACTTACAAGCCGTTTCATCCAGCGCTGAAAGCAGGAGGCCTGTGGGCTTGTATGGATTGTCCCCCATCTGAGTTCGTATGTGCTCCACTTTCTCCTGCCAGGTCCTCTCTACAAATATACATATTTAATTTTCATTTGCATCCAGTGAGACACATTTGATGCTAATTTGTCGTACAGTGTGCTTTTGTCCATCCTCGAAGAGTGGCTGTAGCTCAGGAGGTAGAGCAGGCCGTTTGCTAATTGGAAGGTAGATGGTTCAATCTAGAAGATACTAAGCCCACGTCGCTCTCTGATGCAGCCACTGGAGTAGGAATATGTTTGAATGTTATATAGAAAGCACTTCCTTGCTACAATTTTAACTTGGACTTGTCTGAGTGCTTTTTGCTCAAAGTGAGTTTGTAGAGAGTAGGGCATGTGAAGAAAAATAACACTTAATTGTTCATACTGGGATTCTAACATTTTCACTTCACAAATAATGTGGTTTAAACAAAACAAATGTTATTATTAGCAAATAATGCCAAAATAGTTCGAACAGAACGTCTTTAACCACAACTCTTGATTATTAACAGTTTAACAGTATTTCATTTTTAGGTCAAACAATCAATACAGATTATCGTCACACTGCTCGTTCACACAGTAAATATCTGGGTGTTTATTACTATGAGAATTTAATCTGTGTGTGTGTGTGTGTGTGTGTGTGTGGGGGGGGGGGGGGGGGGGGGGTCAAGATGTGACCACATAATCGACTTCCCTAATCCTGCTGGTCTGGAAGTCCAGCAGTTCATCTAAACAAAAGGCACTTAGACTAAAACAGATATACTTGTGTTTGCTATACCATAAATCAGTAAGAGAAGATATAACCTTTCGCCTGACCTTAAGTTGTGTGTGCATGCCAGAGTGCTCTGGGAGGCGCACAGAGTCTCCACAGACTACTACGGATCAAACCTCCATTATTATGCAATCGATAATAAAACCAAGCATATATGAGTGAATATTTCTAAGCATAAATGACAATCAACCATATAAACCTAACAGCTAACCAGATCACCTTCTCTATTAGGAAGTTAATGGCATGCCAGAGTTGTTTTTGCAGTTCCTTCCGCTGCTTGTAAGTGACAAAAATGTCTTGTTAACAGACGTAAAAGACCTGCTAACTTACTGAAATTCTGTCAGAAATTCAAGTCTACTTTGCACAGCATTTGAAATGACTTACACAGAAAGGTGAGAAATTTGTGGAGAGCTGGACAAAGTCAATAAGGACAAATGCAGATGCACTAAACCAGGGTACAGCAACACAAACTGAATCACTGAATGGGGAGAAAAAAAATCCTATCCCATCCAAACAGTTTCCACTGTTTAGAAGAAGTAGACAATTTCTCTTTACAAAATCATCCAGGGGCTTGTTGGTCTTTTCAAAACCTTGCGGAATCTAGGCCGAATACCACTGATGGGGTTGCATCCAACACATTGTGACCCATCTGTGGGAGTAACCAGTCTCATGGCGAAACAGCATCTTTGGTAACTCTAAACAGATCTCAAAAGCAAAGGTTTATGAGGTATTCTGTGCTTTTCAGACATAAAACTTCACTTTATTTCCTATAGCAACTAACTACTATGATCTTAAATCAATAAATTGCTTTCAGTGCTCCACTTGTAGCTCTTAAATGTTTTACTAGAATTGTAGATCAGCAGCACCTGTCTCTATTTGTTAATCTTGCGATAGATTGGTGATCAGTTCAGGGTGTACCCCTCATCATACCCTATGACAGGTGGGAATGCCTCCAGCTCAACCGTGATGCTAAGCTGGAAATACGGAAGAAAATGGATTGATGGATCTTTCAAATATAATGCTTTGGCTACTCCAAGGCCTTTCTAGTAAATAGGTCCTTTACTCTGACGTGCAAGCTTCTCATTACTTAATGGACTTCTTCCAGACAGTTAGCCAAGCAGAAGAACGAGCTTTCATGTCTAAACTATGAGACAATATTTGCATGCTATATGGATTTCTTTTTTGTGCAGCTTGTAGTCACATACAGTCCATTAGGTTTATGGTGCTCTCCATTTATTCAATGTGCCTATTCTGACCATAAACTGGACAATATGCTCATCCAGTCTAAGTTGGTATTTGATCCATCAGCCTATTGTAAAACCATCGACATGCTATTTATGGCTCTGTTTTGCGAGCGGCTTATTGCACTCTGTCCAGTTTGCAGGTATTTATCAGCACACAGATAAAAAGGACCACACACAGGTAGACCAACAGACTGAAAGATGTGTGCTCAGTACAATCGTAAACACACGTTCACATAAAGGAAACCTACGTATGACTCGGTCAGGCAGGCGGGTGAGGTTGTCAGGCGGGACCGACGGTCTTTCCTTCCACACTTTGTCGACCAGGTTCTCTGTGATGGACTTGAGGCTGCGATCGCTCGAGTCCAGATTGATGTTGTAGTCTCCCTGCGTTTCTAATGGAGGAAACTGCAGATGATTACACACGCTGAACCGAATCAATCACAAGTAAACAGTCTGCATGGCGTCTGGAGGCTTTGTCAATAATTTTCCCATCTACTTAGGTGAGCACTTTATTGATGTTAAGCCAGACTGACAGGTGGGGAAGAAACGTGAGACTCACTGAGAGAGAAGAGGAAGGGATCAAAGCCGATCTCGTCACCCTTTGGCACTTCTGAGATAAGCCACTCTGCCACACTGCTGATGGACACTACAGAGCATCACACATGACAGACCGCAGTCAGGTTATTTGAGAAAATGATGCAGAAGGTGGAAAACATTGTAGCAATTTTAAAACCAACTTTTGGGTTTATAAAAGAATATAAAATAAAATGAGCACAAATAATGTTAATCAGAAAATACAGTTTCTATCAATGAAATGATACATTGTAACATTGAAAGCAAACTTTGACCAATCGAACTGGTTCAATGTCGGTGTTAGAAGGGGTTCTTTGGGGTGAAGGTCCATCTAGAAAGCTCACTTGACTTGATGATGATGTTTAAAACACTCTTAAGTTATTGCAGTGCAATTGAATTATGTGGTTAACAGCATTTGCAACAGTGGATGGGCCTATGCAAGTCAGATATTTGGAAATACCCCACTAAAAAGTGGTCAGTTTTTGCAGCTGTTGGGTTTTTTTGTTGCTGTTTTTTTTTAATCCCACCTGAACTTTGAACCTCTGCAGGAATTGTTTTCTGAATTTTTCCTGTAAAGAATAAACTCCTTTCATTGTAATACTTAATATTAGCAAATCCTTCCTGAATTTGAATTTTAAAGCTGCTTATCTGAAGAGCAGAGGTCAGATCAACATTCAGAGCCATGCATTTAATGTGTTTTCCCGTATTTGCCTGACAGTACTTTTCAGCCTCCCCTACCTCTCTCTGTGTTGCAGCCTAAGAAGCATTTGTTGCTCAGTAATTTCCTAAAACTGTTTCAGCAAATGTTTCCCCGACCAGGAATGCAAATCCTGAGCACTTGCAGCTGTGGATTAATACATACATGGCTGTAATGTAAGTATATTTATTATGTGTATCATATACACAGCAGTAGAGGAAGATATCACATAACCCCACCATAGCCTTTTAAGAAAAGAAGTAATATGAGAAACAGATACAACAATTCATCTGAATGTCTTAGCAGAAGTTGAGACTCAGCAAACCAACAGAGATTTTTCCAATCATCCATTGTCCAATTTTGTGAAGCTGGTGTAAATTGCTGAGCCTCAGTCTCTTGTTCTCAGATCATAGGAGTGAACAGCTGGTGTGATCTTTTGCTACTATAGTTCATCTGCTTCAAGCTTTGATGTGTTTGGTGTGATCAGGACTTTCTGAAATACCAACACAAGCCTGTCTGATACCAACAACGATGCCACACTCAATGTCACTTGAATCAAGTTGTCTTGACCATGCTTGGGTGATTAAAGCCAATGGTGTCATGTTATTGGATGACTAGATATTTTCATTAACGCACTGATGAACAGATGTACCTAATGAAGTGGCTGGTGGTGGGTGAGTGTATGTGGCCCTTTACAGGCCTCTTTTTTCTGCAATCCTTGAATGACATTGGCTGTCATGAAAAGCTATAAAAAAAAGTAATAAGTCCCATTAGTTGCAGTGTCTTAATTTTTGCTTTGGTGTTAAAGATTTTTGTTAATGAGCGATGTTTATTGATATTAAATCTGCTATAATGGTTTTTAAAAAAGGAAACATTTAACTGGAATCGAATGGTTGCTGTGTTGTCATAACAAGTAAGCAAAATAGGACCACTCCTACCATCTTTTTCCAGCTCCCAGTTGCAGTCCATCTGTCTCTCAGCTTGAACCCAGTAGCGGCTATCTGTCCACAGAGCGGCCTTGTTCAGGGTAACTACAGCAGTGCCTGAGGAGAGGCAGGAAAACAGCTGCGTTATAGAGAGGGCAGCAGCAACAGTGAATTACAAATGACTATAAATGTCAGAGTTGACTCAGTGTGTGACTGGACAGCTAATCTGAATTTAAAAGATGTATGTGTGATTGAATGAGAGGGTGAGCAAGAAACAGTGATAACAGTCCGGTAATGTGGTGCGGATATATAATCAGGGTTTACATTATCATTCCACTGGTGCACCCTCACATCACAAATACCCATCAATGAATCTTAATAAAAACCCAGACAATATGGCTTCTCATAATAGAGTTTCACATAGGTTTGATGGAGTGTAATCAGCGCTCTACTGAACTGTCATCTGCTTTCTTGTCACTTTCTGTGGCGATCGTGGCTCAAGAGTTGGGAGTTCGCCTTGTAATCGGAAGGTTGCCGGTTCGAGCCCCGGCTTGGACAGTCTCGGTCGTTGTGTCCTTGGGCGAGACACTTCACCCGTTGCCTACTGGTGGTGGTCAGAGGGCCCGGTGGCGCCAGTGTCCGGCAGCCTCGCCTCTGTCAGTGCGCCCCAGGGTGGCTGTGGCTACAATGTAGCTTGCCATCACCAGTGTGTGAATGGGTGGATGACTGGATATGTAAAGTGCTTTGGGGTCCTTAGGGACTAGTAAAAGCGCTATATAAATACAGGCCATTTACCATTTCTTATTCTTTCACAGTTAAAGCGTGAAAACAGAGCTCATCATTTCATAGGGAAGTTCCACTGCGAGGGCGAGTGCCTACATTTGAGGACATGCTGTCGTGCAGCAAGTGAAAGCAGGGAAAACAAATGAATGAGGAGCGAGATGTATGGCGAGGATGTGGGATGAAAGCAGAGGAGCTGCGTGACCGAAGATGTCGGGAGTGAGTCATGGGGAGGAGGAGGACGAGACAGAAAAGGATTGTACCTGCAGAACCAGTGAAACCAGTCATGAAGGCCAACCTGGCGTCACGTGGTGCAATGTATTCACTCTAATGGAAAAAAGCATACACAAACTCAAACACAACAAACACACACGAGCTTTAATCTCAGATGACATAATTATGATGGACAGCATGTGTACCAGGTGAGCATCGGTGGCAGGGATAATGTAGGCAGAAATATTCATGGCACGCATTTGCACTCGTAGCTCCTCCAGCTGGAGAGAGGTGTTTACTGCTGTGCTGGGGAGGTACTACAAAACACACACACACACACACACAGCAAGAGTAAAAATCTTCAGATTGAATAAAAACTCGAGGAGCTGCTGATTCATCCATCTCTGTATTTCCCTCCATAATCATTAACTGCAGTCCATGTGCTGCAATCATTAACTACGTGCACAAATCTCATGCAACATGTCCTGATCTCTGGGATTGGAAGTTTTAGTTAGTGTTTAAGTTGATGTTTAGTTTTTGCTGAGTAAAATCATTTGTTCAATTGTTATTGGTGTGAAAAACAAGCTTCCAGATATTTTGGACCCTGGTTTGGTCTGTTATTCAGCCTGCCTCTACTCCTCCATATGGATCAGTCACATCTTTGACTTCAGCTTTATTTTCAGCTTCCTTTGTGTAATTTTAGCAAAGAAATCAACAGTATCCCCTTATATAGACATTCAGTTGACAAGCTAATCTTACCGGTGGGGTCAAAGAGCAGTTCCTCTCAGTTGATTCTCGTGCAACAGCACCATCAGTGTTTCCTGAAATTGCATGCACACAGAGGTAAAAGACCTTGGAAAAGTGATACAAGTGACTGAATTGAGCTATGCAGGCACGTTTTTGGATTAGTCTAAAGTAATCTTTCCCTTTAAAAGGGGCTTATTGTACCAAATCTATTCGGACAATCTGAAGGTCACAGCAATCTGCGGGACCAAAGTGACTCAAGGCTTTGAGGACAAGAGTCAGACTGGACACACAGAGTTTATATCAATCCCATTAACCACAGTTCATCCAGCAAGAGAAGTGCAATCAATCAAGATACTCCATTCTGTCATGTCCAAGTTACTGCTGATCAAAAACCGCTCCGCAGAGTTTATGCAGTCAAATTTTGTGCAAAGAAATACAGACAAGTAAAACCACCCGGCACAGACAGAGGAGAATGCATATACTTCTTTAAATGCAAGTCTTCTTTAAATCATGCTTAAATCATGCAGTGTATGTACATGCAGACTGTAACTGTCCCTATAACAGCAGCTCCTACATGTGAGCTGTTCGCCACTTGACAGTTTCTGTACTGTAAACAAAGAGAAATATTGATCGCCACAGTGGCTCAATAAAAGTCTTCACACAGAGAGCAGATCTTAATCAAAGAGGATAAAGAGGAACTTTTTTTTACCTGTTAGTGCTGCAAGATACAGAGCCAGCAGCCAGCTGAAAGAAGGCATCTTGACACTCCGAGCCCTTTGCGAACAGATCCACACACGGAGTGGCTGAGGATCTGATGTTGCATGCAGCGTATGTGTGAAAGTGTGTGGGGGTGTTGCTCGTAAAAGCATTACTGCCCTCTCTCTCTCGCTCCCTCTCTCTCCTCCTCCACTGTCACCACTCATTATCTCCCTGATAGGAATCCTGTGTGGTGGCACTGGAAGTGAATCTTAGTACTTGGAAAAATTCCTGACCAAAAATATGCATCCATCCATGAAAAACACCCACCTGTTTGTTTTGTGGGGTTTTTTTTTGTTTCCCTTGCATCTGACTCAACAGTTTTGATTGTATTATGATGTAATTCAGTGGCTGTGGGTTAGAAATTCCCACTTTTGTGCATTTTTGAACACTACTGATATTGTTATTGTGTATATAAGAAGAGAGAAGCAGTCTTACACTGAACAACATGGATAAAGCTGCTTATATTCTGTGACTGTGTGATTGGAGAGTATTTGTCAGGTGGAAGGCAAGAACAGGACCCAAACACAGGACTTCCTGGTTAGAGGCAGTGAATTTATTTACAGTGAGAAGTGAAGGGTAAAAAATAAACAGTTCAAAAAAGTTGTGGCTCAGTTTGTGGTTACTCAATCTGCAATCTGGGGTTCGGGCCACTCCACCACAGCCTTAATCTCGGCCATCTCCGCCCGGAGCTGCTCCTGTTCTACAATGAAACCAACAAATGTGGAACTTGCATTTCTCACCTTTTACAAACAGAGGTTTCTCTAGTAGCCACTGAAGAACAAAGCAAACAGGATTCTCATGACCGGACAGGGTCTTCGGAAACATCAGAAAGTTGCCAAGGTAAACAAAAACAAAGTGATTCATGAAGTCCCTCAAAATGTCGTTCACCGGAGCCTGGAAAACCTCCGCAACCAGATGGTAAGCAACCAGATGGTACGCGTTGCAAAGCTCAAGTTTGGTGAAAATGGTGTCCCCTGCAGTAACTCCAAGGCTGAGGACAACAGGGCAGAGGGTACTTATTTTTAACTGTGATTTTGTTTAGTAAGCGGAAGTCGATACAAGTATATACAAAGTGTCTGTACACTTTCTTTTCCACAAAGAGTGAAAAGAACAGTGAGACTTGAAAAGCAAACTGTTCCAAAGTCGTGACTCTGTTCGTGGTTACTCCTGACTCCTGTGCAGTGCTCTTGGTCAGTGGTATGTGGTGAAATCCCACACACAATATTTACAGGTGTGCTCTGCTCCCGCCAAACTTTCTTTCCCAGGTTCCTAACAAAACAAGATGTGACGATTAGATTAACGTTTCTCCAGGACGAGGGATAAAGACACCTCAGAGCCGGGGCTGTGCTGACGATGTCACTCCAGCGTCATCTGAAGTCCAGCCACTCTGTTAGACTGCTGACGAGGATCATCAGCTGCAGCTCGTGAATCTTGATTGGTGGAAGATATGGCTGGCTTCAGCGAGGGAACTCCTTAGGCCTGGTGTTGCCTGTAAACCAGCACACAGGCCACACACACTCACACACACATACCCACATAGAAGGAAGCAGGGGACTGGGAGAGAACATAACAAAAATAGATCGACCGGCGAGGACTGACGTACCATGACAGTATTTATCTGAGGACAGATAATAAAGACATGCGGTCGTGTTTGTGTCTGGACACCAAGACTACTTGTAATTCTGCAGAGATTCCCATAAAAATCAAACAAAAAAAAAACCCCTTTGGTATTTTTAAATCGTTGAACTCATGCCAAACAGATAATACCACTTAGCTGAAAGGAGGAGGAAGAAGAGGAAGGTAAAAGGAGCAGGGAAATGTATGAGGAGAATATCTTTCTAGCTTCTCAATTTTTTTTAAATATTTCATTTTCATTTTGAAGAGATAGTTTGATATTTATGCAAAGACATAAATTGGCTTTCTTGTTGTGAGTTATGTAATATAATCAAATTAAAGCCACAGGGAAACAGATGGTGTGTTTGTAAATGAAGGTACCAACTAAATTCACCTATCAACACTTGGATAGCTCACTAATTAACATACGTTTCATTTGATGAAGCTGCACAAAAGCTGAAATTGAAAGGGGGATTATTTTTTAGGGGTTGAGCACATTGACTTTCTTGGGTCTTGCAGTCGAGAGGATGTTTCCTTTGGACAGAGCCTGGCCACATGTGTCCCTCCGGTCTGTCTTTAGGACAAACTAAAATATGTTCAGGATACATGAATAAAAGATGGATGCAGCATCTGTTTCTGGAAGTGCCTTAACCCTGTATTGTTTTGAATCGACATCAAAGGTAACGTCTGTGGTTTCAGTAAAAAATCAGACTGTAAGAAGATGAAGTAAACTTCATGACCACAGAAAATGCCATCGTAATGGGTTTACATTGTGAATTTGTCACTGGAGGCCGGTACATGGATGTGGATCCAAATACAGACACCAAGTGGAACACCGATAAGATTTAAACAAGCTTTGTTGTGAACACAGATTAGAAATGGCAAGATGAGGGCACATAGTGGGGAGTCTCTATCGGGGAGGCACTGGAACAGCGAGAGCTAGGTCAGGTTATGAGAGTGAGGAGTTAATGCAGGGAGGAGAGAGGAATACTGATTCTGCAGGCTTGCAGGCGGAGGTTGTGAGGCTCTGAGGAGGGCAGCCGAGTGAGCATTCGAGAGGTGAGTGAGTGACTCTTGTTCCAACCTTGTTTTCCTCATAATACAGAAGAGATGACAGGCAGGGGGACAAGCAGGTAAAAGCAGTTTTAATTCCAGTGAGTGGGTTGCAGAGAGGTTTGGAGAATCTTGCCAAGGAGACCAGGTTATTGAGCTGCAGGGGAGTAAAGCAGTGATATCACGAAGAAACTGGAGGCACAAGGAAATCAAGGTAAGTACAGAGCATGAACACGAAAACAAGTAGCAATGAAAACCACCACGAGTTAGCTGACAAACTGGTGGAGAATAGAAGACTGCGCTGGTCTTAAATACAGCCTTTCTGACTGTCGCCAATGGATGAGAGGTAAGTAGGGCAGTTGAGGGAACAGGGCTCCGCCCAGAAGGCGGTCAGAGGTAGACACAGGAAGGCAGTGGAAGCCAGACGCTCCCTCTGATCCTGACAGAATTACTGTTTTCTGCCTTAATTAGAAAGAAAGTTTTTACTGCTCAGTACACCATTAATGCTTCCATAGAAAGTAAGGACATGCCTTTTGGAAGGACTTGCCAGAAGAAAGCCTCTTCTGTCTAAAATAAATATGGCAAAGTTACATCTGGATAAACAACAAGACCTCTAGAATAATGTCTGTTGGATAAACAAGGCCAAAGTGGAGATGTTTGAATGTTTGATGAAAACCAGACGAAGCAATAACATTTCATACCAAGGAGAGAGGAGTTTGGCTTGTTTTGCAGCCACATTACTTCAGCACCTTGCATTCACTGAGTTGACCATGAACAGATCTGTATACCAAAGTATTCAAATCTGAGGTCATTTTTCCAGCAGCTAAAGCTTGCCTAGAAGTAGGACATTAAACAGGAAAATGATCCCAAGCATACTCATAAATCTGCAACAGAGGGTGTTAAAATGACCCAGTCATTGGGTCACACATTGGTTTGTATATGTGCAATTTGCTAATAATTTAGCACTGAAATGTAGACAAACCCATTAATAATGGCATGACTGTCATTTCTACCAGCTGTGCAGCAGGTTCAAGTGCATGCTATTCAAGATGAGGAAGGCTGATATATTTTTTTCAACAGGCTGTCAGTGTGAAAGTAATGTATTCATTTGATAGAGTGAAAGGTTTCTTTACATTGTCTTTTTAAACATTTTTTATCACCTCGGGTTGTCAACAAATCCAATTCTGTTATTTTTGCATAGTTTAACACACAGACAAGCACACACATTGGACTGTTTATCAGAAACATACTGCTGTAAACCAAACCGTTATTGACTCACTGAATGAGAAACTAAAATCGTGTGTTTCTTGGCCATCCAACAATTACCACACCTTTGGAAGGATTGTCATTGTCATGTTGACAGAAGGACTCTGGCATTCATGAGATATGGGGGTAGTCAGTACACAACGCAATAACATAGTGCTTCACTGCCCACTGCTACTGATTGTTTAACAAGCCAATGCCATGATTTACTGACACTATAACTACCTGATGTGAATATATTTTTGAGATGCAACACCTCTATGGTGCTCTGGGATCCATTAGCTTTGAACATGACTTCAAAACCTGACAGACATTCAGAGCACAGTGTGCTGGAATAAGAAAAAGCCTATGATATAACACTGGGTAATGTAAAGGGATCACAGAGTGTCTCTTAGGCTGGAACATCAGAGAATATGAAAGCAAAGGTTCCTGTGATTTTAATGAATAGCTAGCTGCTCCAAGGTTACAAAGCTGTGCTTGATGAGTCGAAGGTATACGGTTTAATAGGGCAACACAGCTGTGTAGTGATCAGCACTGTTGCATTTGTGTAGCCTGTGATCCTGAACTTGATGAGCACTTAGATGGAGGTTTACCTAATGCAGTAATAAAGTTAGTACTACACCTTATCAGCTGGGACCTCATTTCACCATCAGAACTTCCTTAATTCTTCACAGCATGCATTTGACAGGGTGATGGGAACATTCCTCAGAGATGTTGCTCCATGTTGAAATGATAGTATCACACTGTTCCTGCAGATATGTTGGCTGCACATCCATGATATGAATCTCCCATTCCACCACATTCAGTGGGTGGTCTATTGGATTGAGATCTTGTGACTCTTGAGGCCATTTCAGTACAATGAACTCATTGTGATGTTCAGGAAAACAGAAGTTTTGAGCTTTTGTCAGGGGCCGAGCTGGCTGTACCAAAATTCGGGACTCAAATGCAGACTCGCTTTACTTTGTACAAGAACTTCATTGAGAAAAAAGGATTAGAAGCACCAGGGGTTCACTAGGGGTCAGAAGAGCAGGGTTACTTTGATTCCTGGGCGGAGTATACTGAAAACAGGAAAATAAGCTTAGTGCTGAAAAAAATCAAGATAACAACAACATCAGGGAGTCACTTTACCACTGGAAGGTAGCAG